TCAGGGGAGAAATAGACAGCAATACCATAATAGCAGGGGACTTCAATATCCCCTTTTCAACAGTGGATAGATCATCCACACAGAAAATCAATAAGGAAACAGTAGACTTGAACAACACTATAGACCAAGTGGACGTAACAGACATATACAGAACATTCTAGCCAACAGCAGCAGAATATACGTTCAAGTGTGCACAGAACATTATCCAGGATGGATCATATATTTGGCCACAAAACAAGTTTTAACAAATTTAAGAAGAGTGAAATTATATCAAGTATCTTTTCTAACCATAATAGTATGAAATTAGAAATCAATAACATAGCCGGGCTTGGTGGCTCAGCCTGTAATCCCACGCCTTTGGGAGGCTGAGGTGAGTGGATTGCCTGAGTCCGCGGGTTCGAGACCCGCCTGGGCAGCAAGACCTCATCTCTACAATAAATCAAAAAAAATCAGCCGGGCGCGGTAGCACATGCCTGTAATTCCGGCTACTTGGAAGGCTGAGGCGGAAGGATCGCCGGAGCCCAGCAGGTCGAGGCTGCGGTGGCCGGGAACGGTCACTGCACTCCAGTCAGGGCGACAGAGTGAGACTCCAACTCAAAAAAAACAAAAACAAAAGAAACAAACAAAAAAGAAATCAATAACATGAGGAAAGTTGAAAAATTCACAAATATTTAGAAATTAAACACACTCCTGAATAACCTGAGTCAAAGAAGGAATCAAAAGTGAAGTCAGAAAATATCTTGAGACAAATGAAAATGGAAACAACACACCAAAATTTACAGGATACAGCAAAAAACCGTACAAGGATGGAAGAATGTAAAGAAAATGTGGCATATATATACACTGTAATACTAGTCAGTTTTAAAAAAAGAAGGAAATTCTGTCATTTGCCAAAACATGGATGAACCTAGAGGACATAATGCTAAGTGAAATAAACCAGGCACAGAAAGATAAATACTGCATGATCTCACATGTGGACTCTAAAAAAGTTGAACTCATAGGAGCAGAGTGTACAGTGGTCATTACCAGGGACTGTGGGGTGGGGGAAACTGGGAGATGTTGGTCAAAGGGTACAAAGTTTCACTTAGGCAGGATGAATAAGTTCTGGAGATCTAATGTACAGCATGGTGACTATCATTAACAATAATGGAGAGTAGATCTTAAATGTTCTCACCACCAAAAAAAAAAAAAAAGATAACTCTGATGTCATGGATATATTAGCTTGATCATGGCAACCATTTCACAAGGTATACATATATTAAAACAACATACTATACACTTAAATATATATAATTTTTATTTGTCAGTTACACATCAATAAAGTGGGGGGTAGGGGAAGGAAGCTGTCTCAGTGATGGTGATATCCAAGCTGTCCCAGCTGTCCTGAGCTTCTATTATAGCCTTCTGGGCATAAAACCTGATATGCTCATAGAAGCAGTCACAAGTTTTCATCTCAAAAGGTGAGATGTTTTATTTGGAAGTTTTACACAAACTTACTAATTTCTTTAATACATTTAACAGTACTCCTGCTCTTTTCCTCCCTGACTGCCTGAGAATTGGCAGCCATCATGAACGACACAGTAACTACTTGGACCAGGAAATTCATGACCAACTGTCTGCTTCAGTGAAAACAAATGGTCATTGATGTCCTTCACCCCGGGAGGGCAACAGTACCTAAGACAGAAATTCAGGAAAAACTAGCCAAAATGTACAAGACAACACCGGATGTCATCTTTGTATTTGGATTCAGAACTCATTTGGTGGCAGCAAGACAACTGGCTTTGGTATGATTTATGATTCCTTGGATTATGCAAAGAAAAATGAACCCAAACATAGACTTGCAAGACATGGCCTGTATGAGAAGAAAAAGACCTCAAGGAAGCAGCAAAAGGAACACAAGAACAGAATGAAGAAAGTCAGGGGCACTGAAAAGGCCAATGTTGATGCTGGCAAGAAGTGAGCTGGATCGGAAGGCTGAGGTGGAAGGATCGCCGGAGCCCAGCAGGCCGAGGCTGCGGTGGCCGGGAGCAGCCACTGCACTTTAGTTTGGGCGACAGAGTGAGACTCCAATTCAAAAAAAAAAAAAAAAAAAAAAAAAAAAAGAAGTGAGCTGGAGATTGGATAACAAGCAAAGGACTAAAGATGATGCAGTAATGATATTTGTGGCTACTGTTTGGATTTTTCATGACCGGCTTAATCAACTAAAAACTTTTCAAGTGAAGAAAAAAAAAGTATTCCTTATAATTATATATTTATAATTATATAAAAGAATATTATAATATATTTAATAAAAGATTAATATTTTCAGCAAATATTTTCCACATGTAGACCATCCAGATCCCTTCTGGTTTACCCCTGTGTGCCACACAAACATTTTTTATGTGAGAAAACATAAAAAACATTAGGTTAACACTGCTGTGTCATGCTGCATTTCCTTCATTCATTCAGGTAGCCAATATGGATGGGTGCTTCTAAGTTAGGACAGGACACAAGAATCCCTCCAACCTCCTACCCCACAGGGGCCAGGAGATAGACTGATGGATAACTAGTATCAATTCATTGTGGTAAGTCTGTGTGATAAAGCATTTATACAGTGCCTCAGAAAATGCAGTGAAGATTACCTAAGAGCAGAGAAATAGTTCAGCTGGCTCTCAAAATTTGAGCTCACTGGGAAAAACCTGGGATGAGGAAAGTGGAGGCAGAAACATGACAGTGTAGAAAAGCACACATTCTTGAAAATTAAAGAGCTGTTCAGAAGCTTGGGCAGAAAGAGATTCAGCTGTAGACGTGGTTTCAGGTCTTTTTTCTAGCTACTGAGAAATTTGGTCTCATTCCTGTAGGTGATGGGATGTCCTGAAAGTTTTTAAGCAGGAATGTCAAGATCAGATTTTGTTTTAGAAGGGTAATTTGAGTAGCTGCATGAGGAGGCACTTGGAAATGAGAGAAGAGTGGCCTTGAGCAGAACCAGTGGCAAGGACCAGAGCAGCGAGATGACTTGGGGAGAGAGATGGTTCCCAGGAAAGCAAGTCCTGAGAGAGGAAGAAGAGGCAGAAAGGAAAGAGATGAGGCCCTCGGCTGTCTGGCTTTTGATACGGGCCAGCAGGCTTCCTGTGGCTGAACCACACGTGCTGTGAGGTGGGCAGTTTTCCTTTCTGCATGCAGAACACTTCTTAAAAGGCTAAAGAAGTGGTGGATTTGACACTACCCAGTTCAGCAGAGACACAGATATGAGTGTTCCAGAAACAGAGCAGGACCCCAGAGGGAACTGTGGGGCCAGGCAGGGGAGGGAGCAGAGTGCACTGGGGAGAGCCCTCTTCCCTGGAGAGGGAGGCTCAGTGTGCTGAGGAGGAGGTCTAAGGTGAGTCCTGTCTAGACATTTCCATTCAGATCTTGTACTGGTTTTGCCCTTAAGCACTGTTTTAGCCCAGAGCAGGTTTCTTTCTGGAAAATTTCCCTCTGCCTTACCTTGCTCTTTCAGGGAGGTGCTCTCCTGGGAGGAGTTAGTTGGGCACTTGAGCTGGGTTTGGATGCCGTGATGGCATCTACTATGGGTGTTCTGTTGTGCCCCTAGGGGAATATAGTCAGGTCCTCTCCGGGACTGCCCGAGTCACTCTTCGGCAAGAGGTGAGAGTGGGATTCAGAAAACAGTTGTTCCTGGGTGAAATGGGAACTGTCTGCCAGCCCCCATGCCGGGCTTCTCCAGCCTAACCCTGTGAGCTGCATGAGTACAAGGTGGCACGAGTTGGCTCAACACAGCCATATCCGTGAGCCCCATTTCCACACTGTAGAATGCTAGTCTTCCTGATCCCGACCCCTGCCGAGACACTAGAGGAACAAAAGCGGAGGCGAGGAAAGGCCGACTTCAGCGCGGGGCACGGCGGGAGCCAGTCGTTCCTCGGGTCGTGCCGCCCTTGCTCCTTGGGTAAGGTCTGCCTGGAGGACCAAGCCAGCGCAGCGCAGGGTGCTTGGGAAGCGCCCCGTGGGCGAGCGGGGAGCATGCCGGTGAGTGCCGTGAGTTCCGCGGAGCCGGGAAGGCGCGAGTGCTGACCCGGGAGCGCCAGCACCGGGCCGGCCGGGCAGCGCCGCGACGCGTGGGGGCGCCCCCGCCCGGCGTCCCCGAGCTGTCCGCGACCCTGGCCGCG